CAGAACTGCAGCTTTCTACCACCCATACAGATGGGCTGGCCACCAGGACAATAGAGAAATGGAAGCTTGGTTCCTGGTGGGTCTGTTCTCTTCCTTTTGATGCTGTGAAGTCGTGATAGTAAGGTTTAAAGAGCAGTTATCCCCTTCATGTTGCACAGAGAAATAGGTGATAGTACGGAATCGCTGAACATAGGCTTAGTTCATGTAGTGTGTGCCTATGACCTTCCAGTGCTGTGCAATGATTACAGCTCCTGGTGAATCCAGATCATCAGACTAAGACCACATGGCCTGTAATTGTCACTGCTTCTCTGCCCTGGCAAAATAAAAGGAGAGAGAAATAAAACAGTGAAAGACATTACAGAGAGCACAACAGCATAAAATATTTCCTTTTATGTGTTCTGGTTGCTTACAGTGAGATTGACCATATTGAAAATAAAAGTCTGGGGGAACTTTCTTATCACCTTTTTTAGAAGTTTAAATCTCAGGAATTAATTTACTTCATGCTCTTCCTAGTGTAATAATTATCTACACTAAATGAAGAATCTACCTGTGGCTCCAGAAAATAGTAGAATCACTTACCTTATAGTATTCTGTATGTACCCTGCAAAGACAGTAAAATAAAGAGCAGTCATTGCCCAGGATATGCTCTGTTATTGGTGATTTGCAGTATTTTCAGGATTGGTTTATATTTGGTTACCGAAGTCATAATGTAAGCACCTCAGAAAGCAGCTTGGCTTTGACAGCTGCTTTAGCTTCCATGACTTTCCAAGTGCATAGGCATTCCATCTGAAGTGCTGTTTCCTTAAGTTTGAAAACAAACCTTTCATGTAAGTACCTGAATACAGATTTACATTAATTTGAAAATTCTGACCTCTACTTTCTACATATCTAGGTCTTTAGTTATGACCAGACTTAGTTAAAATCCAGTTTTCAACTGCTTTTTAAAACATAAACTTTCCATCTTTATTGAATTTCAATTCAGTATAATTTCTTTTTCATCTCATATTTAAGGCTGCTAATTATTTATTTGCATGTGTGCTTTATCTTACTTCATGTCCATAAAACAGTCTCGATGATGGCACTCACAGGTCGGCTGTGCCATTCGTAACTGCACCATGGCTGTGAGAAGAGGGATGCATGAGGAGAAAGCAAGCCACACTCAATGGCAAGAAATAGATACATGTATAGATACAGATTTTTTAAATGTTTATTTGAAGATCACTCTGATAGTTCGTTTTGTACACACTTTGGGGATTTTTATAATATGTTATTAGGTATTAAATAAACTAAAAAAAAAAAAACTGTTGCTAACTATGAGCAGCAGTCCTTTGCATGGACCAGTAAGCTGATACCTACAGCAGCTTATGTCAGGAGCACATATGGTCTCCTACTGCACCAGATTTTTTCACTCACAAACACTTGCAAGGGGGCATGTGGTAAGACCTCCTTTCCCTGTGCCCTCCTCTTCCTCTCACAAATCTGGTAGTTTGGTTTGTCACTTCTCATTGTAAGTCTGTCTCAAGGTACAAGAACAACTCTAATAGTCTGTTACATAAAGCAGAAAGGTTCATTGAAACGACAACAAAAATTATTTTATTGCCCAGCATTTGTTACCTATAAGGACAAAAGGCCCCTGCATAACAATTTAAATTAAATATCTTTTGAGTTAAACCCCCAAATTCAAATGTGAATACAGATTTAATTGTTCTTTTAAACAATAAGTATGGAGGGTTTTTTAATTGAAACTGTATTTAGACTCCAAGAAAGTTACAACTAAATCAGAATTTTTTGAATAAAAACATTTATAATGCAAAAGTTGACCAACCATCAACGATAAACTTCTTTCCTAATGTCTTCTTCACATTCCTACAGTATTACTTATAGGTGTCCAGGAATATAAACCACTCTTTCTCACAGCTATATTACAGCCATTGGTCTTTTTTTTTTCTAAATAGAGTTGTTTCCATATGTTGTGCTGTAGCACTTTAGGATGTCTCTGTCTGAGCTGTATCTAAGTCTTTATAGATTATGTTTCATCTATATTAGAACCAGAATTAATAATGCGATTGGGATGCAAAACTGGATATGCACAGAAACAACTGACGTTGCAGTCATGGCGTGGTGCTGGACTGGGAAAAAGCAGCTGCTATGAGTTCTTTTTGCTTACACAAAAGTGATATAAACCAAAATTCCACAGAAGCTGGCATTTTTGGTTCCTCTTGCAATGCAGGTGCGCAAATTGGCACTTTATTCTAAGCCACATCTAAAGAGAAATCTTGGCTCATAATGGATATGCCAAAATTTGACAATAGGCCTAAAATATGCATAATGACTAACTCCCACCTAGGCATATGTAAAAGGCCATCACATTCTAGCACCAGCCTTGATTTTTCCAGGATAGGGACTGCAGAACAAACGAGGTGGCTCTGTTCCCATGCAAAGACAATTCTGCACGTAGGCTCAGGAGCTGAAGGTGCTCACTCTTGTGCACAGGCGAGGCTTGTGTGCATGTGTGCATGTGTGTGCCTGGTATGGAGAACATGTGGGGGAGAGCTGAGTGAAGTGTGACGATGACGGTGAATGAAGAATGGATGACTTTCCTCCTTACCATTCCTGTTCTGTGTGCTACTGTGTGACTTCCCATCTTGAAAGGCTCTACTTCCTTTCACAGATGGATGGAAAGCACAAGGTTAACAATACCAAGTGACTAAAAGATTGATTAGGCAGAAATACTTCAGTGACTACATACTTCAAGTGAAGGAAAAAGAGGCAAGTTTGACAAAATTCCCTCATGGGGGAGATGAGCTGGAGTTTGTTGGCTAAACTGCAGGCAGACAAAGCAGCACGGCTTGCCTGTGTTCACCAAGAGACAGCATAAGAGGAGCTATTGTTGACTTGTTGCAGCTTGCAAGGACCACGCAGAATCACAATTGGCTGTAATTGGATTTGCCAGGGGGGATGCAAGAACAGGCGTAGGCCTGGTAGCTGTGGACATGAAGGAAAGTATCAGGCTACAGTACCAGCTATTTACTAAATTTCCTCTGTTGTCCAGCCATGATGAGTAAACACAGAGGTCACAACCAAGGATGATTCACTTCAGTTTTGTGAAGAATTGCTGAAAGTTTTACAAATTACCTGTCCTCAATATCCACTACCTGCAGATGACATCTTCATTTACTGATCCCTAGATGGTCTACTGCTACACTGCAGTTCCTGGAGCCCCTAACTAATTCTTCTTAGAAGGAAGTCTGTCACAGAGAAAGGACCACAGAGAAGACTTATGTAATCTGGCTGTCATTTGCATAATATGAAAAGCATCTGAATTAATAAAGTAGTATATTTAAAACTTTATGAAAACACTTATTCAGTTTGAAAAAATCCCAGTTATAATAAATTAATCCATTTCCTTCCAACAAATGATGTTTGAAAGAAGTTTTATCATTGTTAGAGAAAATTTCTTTTGAAGACATCTGCAACTCATACTTTGTGGCCACTTTAAGTGTACATTTCTCATTCACTACATGCAGCCATGTTTTATGTTGGGTAATACTTTTTTTTTCTTTTTTAAAAAGCCATTTCTCTTAATTTGAAGAATGTGTATATTGCTGTGTTCTTAACCATGGAACATTTCTCAGACCATTCCAGAGCACTTAATTTCCTGTCAAGTTTACCTGATGGATTTGGTTTCTTCAAATATTTACTTGGTCAAAAGAATGGCACAGTGAGCTCTCATCTACTCTAGTTCCCAAATTAGCTTGTGAAGCCATGTGCTGTGCACATCTTACCAGATGGCTGGGACAATTTTTTGCCTTTAAGTCTGCTGAATATAATTATCAATGGACTTTTTTCCGTAGACAGCTAATATAAAGCAGGAGGGATTTCATACCCCTTCCAAGACAGAAAATGTTTTTCAGTGTCTGTTGACAGCATCTGTTTGCATTACCTGCTTAGCAGTGGCATTAAAGTTTATTTGAGAATTAAGAGAATGTTTATGCCCAACCCTAATATTTGTGTTCTGATTTGGAATACTATGCCACCACCATTCTGTGTGAAAGACTTATTCCAAATAATATGCAGTATGGTCTGATATTGTCAAAATATGTTAATTTGTGACTTGGTTTAATGCTTTGAAAACTTGGCTTATGACACCAACTGAAAAATTAACTTTTAACCTTAATTGTAGAATTTAGACATGAAAACCCCAATTGGACAATCTCACCCATCTGACAGTATAAAGTATTCTTATAAGTTCTTCACTTTACTGTTTTAGTGGATTTTCCCTCTCCTCAGAATATATATTTGGACTGACAGTGACAATCACAAGAAACATACTGCCTGGTTACATTACAGGAAATTTTAATACTTCCTTTTGTGACAGTACATCTCCATGGAACAGAAAAGCATTCAACACTGCTAATTGTCACCTTTGCTTGGTTTTGCTGTGGGGTCACAAGGGTTTGTATACTACCACAGCTTCACAATGACGCTGCTAATGACGGATGCCTGTGAGAAGCGCTAGTCTGATGAATCTACATGAGCTGACTCTGAGCTGAGTCTCAGAGTCTGCAGTTGCAAATAATGGAGCAGGGGGTTGTAAATGGTTTGAATCATCAGCTGGATCTGGAAAACTTTCTGATACCCAGGACAGATCTGTAACATGGGAATCTATTTATAATGGTTGGCCCTGCCTGTGTCTGAAGATGCTTCAGTGTCTTCTCAGTTCATAGCTGTTCAGGATCTTTGATTTCTTCCACTCCCTCTAGACACTATGCAAAAATGTAGTCAAATGTAGTCAAAAAAGTCAGTTGGCAACTTTCAGCATGCCAGTAATGCATATTGATATTAGTGACATTTCAAAAAATGACCAGTTCATGGGTTCTTTGCTAATAAATGGGGAATGCAACCAAGAGAATGAAAAGCTCCTTTTACTTGAGCCAACATATTCCTTTGACTGGACAAAGTAACCACGGAAGTTTATGGCATTTCTGTTTATATTGCAGGTGCAGGGGCTAACTCTGGCATTTCAGCCATTTTTCCAAGTACCTCTGGCACAAGCACTTTCTCACCTTACCAGCATGCTCACAAAGGTAGGAATGCACTCACAAAGTTAATTCAGGATCTGTTTGTTTTGAAAAGGGCATCAACAAAGTGCAACCAAATATCTGAAAATATTTATTGTGGTTTTCATTGCCACTATTTCTGGACTTCTAAAACTGCTGTTAGAAATAATTCAGAATTCACTTTTATTTCTTGGTTAATCAAAACTGCTGCTTTAGTTAGCTGAACATTAAATGGATTTGAATTGTACTCAGTAATGCCAGCAGTGAATTTAGCTCATTATTTGTAGCTATACAGAAATGGCACTCTGCCTCATCAAAAGCTTAGCTTAGAAGAATTCAATGCACAAATATGGTCAGTCTCTTATTGAGCTAACATAAACAGTTCTCCAGCATGATTGTTAGGTTTTTAATATATGTGAACCTGAAAAGACACAACAAGAAAGATGCAGTTAACAAGGCACTGACAATGCTGATCTTATTGGTATTGTCTGAAAACCTGGTTGGGAAGATCATGTTTTCAGAAAATTGAAGTTTTCATGCATTCTAGCATATCTGTAATTTTCTGCATCCTTTTGTGGCTTTTCGATTCTAGTCTTTCACATCCAAGTGCCATTTCTGAATACCTTTTCACATAGCTTATTTTAAATTCACCTTCTAGCTGTGCTGTGTTTAAAGTATCTGTTAGAAAAACATCAGTTCCTGTACATGTGCATTGTGTTCTCCTTTTAACTGCAGAGCTTTTGAGGCAGCCACACTTATCAACAGTTGTTTTAGCTCTTATTCCCTTTGCATATTTACCTTATTTTTTTGTCTTTTCAATCCTGATTCCCAGAATAGTGTTAGAAAAGCTGCTACTCTTGCTTATGTATAGCAGATAATACAATTTCATACACGTATCTGATGGATCATGCCATCAAATATTTTAATGAATATTGTTAGCTGGCTAGTGCATAAATAAAAAAGTATTGAAAAACTGTTAATTGGTTTGCTTTTGAGATGCAGCACTAAGTTTTTCAATTCTTAATAAGTAACCAAGACTCAGATCAACTAAACGAGTACGCAAAATATGTGTGAGAGCAGACTGCAAACTATTAACTACTCTCTGATCCTAAGAGTTGCTCCTTTAAGAAAGTATTCTTTTAATTTATTCCAGCAGATCTTTCAGGACAAGGACATCTGGCTACAGCTCTTATAATTGCCATGTCTACCATCTTCATAATGGCTATTGCCATTGTCCTCATCATCATGTTTTACATTGTGAAAACAAAACCTTCTGCTCAAGGTAATTGTTCAGCAGGTGAAATTTCAGCTGCAAATGCTGATTTTGGATAGCTTCTGAGAATAATTAGTGTTTTATTTTTATATTCTAGCCTGTTGCAAGAGCCACTCAGTAAAAAATGTTGAAGCTCAGGCTAACACACAAGAAGAGAAGAAAGAAGTGCAAGGTATACATTTTTTTAGTTGTGCTTTTTCTATCTAAGACAACATTGGGCTTAAATGCTCTTAATACATTTCTCTTAATTACAATTTCTCCTTTGAATTGTATAAAACCCACATCAGTTTACTAAAGAATTGTCTATAATAGTTTTTCGTACTACCAGAATGTCAATTAATCCTCTGATAGCACTTAAAAAGTAGCAGAGAGATTTATGTTTGCAGTAAGGTTGGCAGCAGAACCAGCTCCTGACACAAAGCACTGTTTTGGAAACTCCTTGCCTATTTAAATTTCTCTAATTATTTATCTACAGATAATGTTGTGATATTCTCTGAGAAAGAAGAGTTTGAAAAACTTACAGCAACTCCAGCTAAGGCTGTCAAAAGGTGGGTAAAAGATAAACATACTGCCAGTTTAATTGAAGTGGGGGAGGGACATGGTCACCATCCATCCTGGTACAGTTGAACACATAAAGAACAAACTTGATGGGTAGGTTGCTGCAGCAGGGAAAAGACTAGGTGCCTTAGCAGGCTTTTCCTTCTCCAGTTTTTTGGACAATGGCAGACGTCACCAAAGAGAAACCTGCGCCCTCCTCACTCCCTCTGTGACCAACTCATTAGCTCTTGGGTCTCTATGTCAACTTTTGAGAGGTTCATTTCTGGGATCTGAGTGCAGCTCTCACTCACATGGCCTTAGTAAGGTTCCCCTTCCCTTCTAGGCAGGAAAAGTAAAAACAGCTGTAACAGGCCTTTTCTGTGGCATCATCTGGATGGCACAGTGTGGTGGTTTTCCTCACCTTGTCTCTGCCTGGCAGCCAAACCTGCCCGGGTAACACGATTATGGTGGGCTAAACACTGTCCTCAGTTGGAAAATCCCTCTATAAAAGGATTATTGCCAGCTATGTGTGACTGCGTTACTTGGTGGGCACTGTACATACACCCTGGGTTGGTGAATGCCATTACTTTAACAGGATTTCAGAGGAAAGGCATTTTAAAAAATGGAAGACACTTTTATTCAATTAACTCTCAGATAGCAAAAAGGAGATGGCTGGAGTCAATCCATGATAGGCTTTGCTAAGATAACCATATCCTTCATTTTACAGTGAAAACGATGCATCTTCTGAGAATGAACGACTTTTAAGCCGTAGTATGGATAGTGATGAAGAAGCTGCAGTTGACAAGCAAGGGACCCCAGAGAGATGCTTATTATCTTTAGTGCATTTGGCCAGAGATAAATCTTCTACAAGCAATAAATCAACTGGGGTAAGGCTATTTTGAGATTTAAAAATCGAGAGCATTTTTCTATATTTTTTTGAAGGGAAAAAATATACAAACTATCACCCTCCCCAAATGCATTGTAGTGTAGATCAGACTGATTTACAAGAGCTTCTCCAGACAAATTGTTTATAGAATCATCTTTGCACAGTGACAAAAATGTACATATATATTGTTCAGGTATGAAACCCAAATTTCCAACCAGAGTAATAGTTTCACTTCTCCGTGTATTAAATGTTGTAGTCTAAAGAAAGAAACAACAAAACCAGCAACCCCGTGCTATGGCTAATGCTAATAAAACTATCCCAAATGCTACATTTACTGTGAAAGATCCCAGACAATAAAATAATGTAGCAGCATGGCTGGATTCAGCTGACAGTGTAGCATCTGAGTACCTTGACCCAGCTGCATTGGTATTTCCACAGCACAGACTTCTCAATAATATCCGGTGTTGTGCTTGGTTTTCATGCGTAATTTTGAAAAACACACAAATGTTTTGAAGGCCATTGCTCTGAAGGACACTGTAAACCACTGTTTGTTTTCCTGTGGAAGGTCTTTGCTTCTTCCTGCTTAGTGTGTACTGCTCAGGGCTTTTTATCTCACTTGGAGTATTTTAAGGCATAGTTAAGGCCACACCTCACCCACACAACTTTTCTGTTTGTGTTAACATGAAACTGTCCTTAAAAAGAAAGTGTGTGCTCAGATATCTTTTTAGTACTTCAAAAACTGGCAATACCTAGTACAAAATCGCATAATTAATATCAAACATCCAATATCACTTAGGAATAAAGAAGTTTGAAAATGCTTCTTTTCATGTTTGCATGTTTTAAATTGCTGGGATGGTTCAGCTCAAAATTTCTAAACCAGCTTGCTTTTCAGCTTAGTCCAGACACAAAGTCTCAACACAAGCGAAATGGTTTTGTAGTTGTAAACTGTTATGACCATCTGAAAATAACTTCCTACTCCAATGCTCACATTTTAAAATTCAGGTTTCTGAGGTCTCTAAAAATATCCAACTTCATGATACTGCCATAAGCGCTGGCTTGAAATAGGACAACACACCTTGGGTAGGCATGAAATCGGAACATTTAATAAGAAGCATCTTAACTTCTAAAGACTATATATATTAGACACATTCTCCAGAGTCATTTAGGTAGATATCTCATAAGCACACCTGAAGCATGAACTACTTCTTCCAAACCTTCTGGAGGAAACATACTTCTCACAGACTGAAGACAGATTTTTCAATGAAAGTGCAGATTGCGTCAAGATCCTCCACTCCATACCCAAGATGTCAGAATTAAGCCACTTGCCATAAGTTAGAAAAGCAGTAATTTGCTTTAGGCTGGAGATTAAGTAACATGACTAGCACAGGAAAGAGTGTTCAGTAGCCATTGGACATGGATAAAAATAGTCTTGCTGTTAACCAAGTCTGCTTCTTCCTAGTTAAAACAAAATCCATTTGCGAATAGCTACCACACAGAGGATCATCAGGCTAAATGTCACCTGTTTACTTTCAGCATAAGGTTTACAAATCCTTTGTCTTCTGGCTCTGGTAAAAAGAGCATCCTGCACAATTCTTCATGGGCATGGAATTACTTAACCTCCCTCTTTACCCTAAAAGTGAGGGGAGAATGAAAAAAAGGATCCAATAGTTTTCCTAGAAGGAGTTTTAATAAATCCTATTAAAAGAAAATTTCCTCTTTACAAGGTTCTAAAACAGCTAATCCAAGCCTACAGTAGCAACATGACCTATTAAGCACATGTAAATTAAACTAAGAATATGTGAACAACACTCAGTGTCTGGATTGCATTGCCCTGCAATACATGACAGGCTTCAGGTGGAGCAGCGGTATGGTCTCCATCTGCAAGTCTATTAATCCAAGTCATTGATGTGCCTTGCCCTTTAGAACCCAAATAAAATGAGGAAAATCTTTCCACAAAACTAAATACTGAAAGCAGAGCTTTTTTTTTTTCTAGCCTGGTTTGCACTGAAAAGTGACAAATTTGTGGAGATAATGCTAGAATCCTGTCAAAAAGACAGCTTTTCAGAAATCTCAGTCCTAATGAGAGCTGGCACAGGGAAGAAAATTCCAGTACCTGCGAACTCATGACATTTTGACATTTGTTTTCACTCACATTGAATCGAAAGCCAAACTGACTTTTGCTAAATGAAACGATATAAAAATGTCCATTTTTGACTTTAAAAATGTCAGGTTTTCATTCTGAGATTCTTTCTTGTCAAAAATTACCAGAGCACCCTGGACCTCTGATTTTTCCTTTTCAAAGATTCACTGATTTATTTTTTTTAATCTATCTCTAAAATGTTTCAGATTTATGAAGACAATGTATAATCAAAGAAAATATAGTTAATTAGTAATTAACTAAGTAGTTCTACGTCAAATGACAGAAAGGAAGATCTCCTCCTCTAGAGTCCTCTTAGACCACTGGAAGAAGGCAATTTCAGTCTGAATTTAGTTCTCTGCAGCCAGTCCTGACCTGGTTTACCTGGACATCCCTACATTAATTGTCTGCATGCATGATACTGGATTTGTCCTCATTCTCAGGAGTTTGCTTTGGTCTGAAAGCAAAATAAAATAGACAAACACTTGAAGCAGAAAGGCAATTGCTCTCAAAAAAGACTAGAAGTTGGAAAGATCTCTAGCAGTAGTAAGTGAAATCAGAAGTACATTTATGCTTCATGGAATAATGGTTGTGTCATTTTTTTTGAGTCTTCAAAAGGGACCCTTGAGGATAACCCCTAGCACCATGAAATGAACGTCCCACAGATTTTCCACTTCTGTCTGCTAGCTGTTTACTCTTATGACTGAAAAATTAATGAAATCAAACTTTTCTCATTTAGATTCAAAGTCGAAGGAAAAAGATACTCGATGTGTATGCTAACGTATGCGACGTTGCAGAAGGTGAGTGCACAGAACTTGCACCTATATGAACAGCATGAAATTAGATCACAAGTGTTTGCTATAAGAAAGGCCTCTGCTTTTCTACGGAAACGGTCCCAATCCAGAAAAGACACCGTAGCCAGATTTGTACTTGCCAGGATGCCCTGACCCCAGAGCTATCTAGGCCCTGGTCTTGCGCTGGAGGATGTCACAACTTGTCTCCAGTCATGTGCACAGGGTTCCTTCCTATGGAGAGCAGGAAGAGTTGTGTTGGGCTGTGTTGGGACACACACGCAGACCAAGTTGTGAAGAAGCCTTTTGCATTCCCCATCTAAAGGAAACATGTTTGATTTATTTAGTTAGTTCTTTGGATAACAGATAGAAAATAGTTCCAAATATGGAAGTGTGATTTGGGGAGGGTCAGGACTGAGGGTAAGACACTCTGCTTCTTTAAATGGTGTCCCACCTCTCACAACAAAAAGTGGAGTTTCCAAGTTTTAAGTGTTTTAACCATGTTTAGCACTTGACTGTCTGAACTGTTCTAGCAGAAGCAACATGAATTAAATTCCCTCTAGAACAGGAGACACGACTGCATTTACTTCCCACCACACACACACACTTCATGTGCACATGTATGAGTATTCTGTGGTTCAGTGAGCTCTGTCTCCCACCAAATTACTGCTGTTGAGTAAGAAGTAGGAAAACTACAGAAGCAAAAAACTGGTTTGGGAAAAATGCCATAGCTGATTCTCTCCTCTGTTCTCTGACCATGAATACACAGAATATATGTCCATGAAAAAATAGCTTTTTCCCCACAGGATGAATGTTAAATCCTCTCTAGGGATTCAGTGACAGTAATGACAGTGGAGCACTTGCAGGGACTTTTATGCTTGCATTTGGTATCATTACTTCACTTCACTTCTGGCTTTCCCACAAGGGCAACTTTCAATTACAGACATGTTTCAGCAGCTGCTGGTGACAGTCCTGGAGAAGGGTCAAAGCTGTCTCTCAGGCTCAAACACTGTGCCTGACGTGCAGAGGTGTATTAATGGGTCTGCTCACTAGGGATACAGTTACAATATACTGTTTCTAACAGCTAGTAAATTGTTGAAGGAAGAGGCAGAGTCATGGGAATTCACACAAGCCATCTAATACTTCTTTCCCAGGCAACTGTTTACCCTAACTATTGTACCCTACTGTCACTAGGAAGAATTAATTTGATAATATACAGTAATACCTTTGGAGCTAGACATACCTGTCATGGACTATCACTTAAAGATTTTAGCTGTACTCATTGCTAACAGTATAATCTCTAGTACTTAAATGTCAACACTCGTGCCCAGACCCACCTGACAGTACACACCTCCCTTTACAGGTCTGAGCCCTACAGAGCTGCCATTTGATTGCCTGGAGAAGACCAGCCGAATGCTCAGCTCGACCTACAACACAGAAAAAGCCATAGTGAAAACGTGGCGCCACCTTGCCGAGAGCTTTGGACTGAAGAGGGATGAGATAGGCGGTATGACAGACGGCATGCAGCTGTTTGACCGCATCAGCACGGCAGGTTACAGTATCCCAGAACTGCTAACCAAACTGGTACAAATTGAGCGGTTGGATGCTGTTGAATCCTTGTGTGCAGATATTCTGGAGTGGGCGCAAGCAATGCCAGCTCCTGAACCAGCAGGGACATCCTGACATGCCTGCCTGGGACCTGCACTTCTACATCACCCCAAAGAAGCACGATTTCGGCAAGCACACAAAGACTATGGACAAAAGACCATTGATGTTTCTTCTACATAATTGCTCCTGATAGCCAATGGGAAGCTCTTCTCTTTGACTTCTAAAAAAAAGTGAAGTTGCACATTTATAAAAATAAGAGCAGAAATCTCCCAAGAACCTTGGTATGAAACATGTCAATAAACAAAATTATTATATTAACCAGTTACTGATAACAAGTGGACACACAAACATCCATTTTGCAGTCTGTATTATGAGTATAAGGGCAAATAACCCTGCTGATACCCTTCCTGCCTGGCCTTCAAGAAAGGCATTGAATAGCTCTCTGAAAATATTCCTGTCTCTTAGGACTTCATTCAATGGTGTAATGGTGTAATAGTTACAGTCAGAAGCAGTACCACAGCTACAGTGTCAATTAATACACGTGAGGCACGTACATTTCTATCTGCTCCAACCAATTTCATTTTCTACACTTACTATGGGTTTGTTGAATCTAGAAGTATGTCCTCAGATTTACTAACTATACTATATGAAAAAAGAGTCACCATAACTTACAGATTGAAGTGCTTCAAAACAATGTACATAATGCACGTTAATGCACTCTTGGTCCATACTGACATTTCAGAAATTATAAATTCAAACTGCTGACTTGCTGAGGACAAGCCGATTAGGCAAGTGGACAGCAAAATTTGTCAGTCACTCCTTGTGAGTTGAGAACAAGTTCTTTTCTTCTTTGCTATTACAAAAATAAAACCAGAACCCCAAACAAACGAGAAAAAAATGCACCTTGTCCACTACCATGAAAAATGTACTTTTCAGGTAGTGACATGTACACATCAAATTATATTCCAAGAAGAGGAAATTCAGACAACAGTGCACATGTGACAATATGAGCATAAAGAGCAGATTTCTTTAGAGACACTTGAAGTGCAGAGGAAAAATGTTTTTTAAATGCTATACTCTTGTAAGCCTAGACCATAAGCACAGAATCTACCTGTGAAAACAAATTCATGTGGAAGGTAAGCATTATTGTGAGTTTGTGTATAACAAAAGTTCAGCTAACTTTTTTCCTTTTAACTAAATCTCTGGTTTTCATGGCTAAAAATTCTCTAAAACTCATCCAGACCACAAGTCAATATCTGTTACCAAGCCTATTTGCCTAATTTATAGCTAAAATAGTGATGGCAGATTTCACTGAGTGCAATAACTAAATTAAGAGACCTGTCAATTCCAAAGCAATACTTCTTAAGTTCCAAAGTGCATGACTGAACAAAATGCTATTAAAAATATTAACTATTACCCTGAATTTAACAACCAGTGTTCCATCGCTTAGTAACTAGATCTTACCTATTATAGTATTATAATTGTGCAGAACATTTAGTATCACCTTGTAACATCTATATTTAGCATCTTTTCAGCACTTGATTTGTATAGCAGAGGAAGTACATACAGCAACATAAAACCTATCCCTGCCATTATTATTGTTCCCCCCTTTCTTTCGCATCACAAAACACTCTTCATTAATTTGCATATGCAAAATTTGATGAGAATTTTAACTCTTAACAAAGCAGCAAGCTGCATTTATTTGAACATTTAATTAGTTGACTGATATTGAATTTAGGAGTGAAATTCTCGGCATCTTGAAATTAATGACAAATTCATACAGGCTTCAATAAGATTTCTAGATTTGCTGACAACTCAGCAATCTTCAAGATTTTCAAGATCCTGAATCTGCAGTTTTTACTGTTGCTACTAGCATAAAAAAATAAAAGGGGGAAAGAAAAAAAAAACGTGAAGAACCTATTTTTCTTGTGCCAGTGTGTAACTACAGTGTTATTCAGTGGACTGCCTCTTAAGTGTGTCATTTAATACTATACATCATTTAGAAGATACAAGATAAAGAAGATACAAGAATCCTCTTTTCTATGTTTATTGGGCCATGAAAAGATAGGGTTTTGAAATCAATCGTGCCAATGTGAATACAGACTATTTAACATTATTTTATTTAGTATACAGTATTTTTATTGTTACACAAAAGATGTGCAGGAATGAAAAGAATCCTGTAGATCTTGCCAAAGCTTACTTTCTAATAACTTGTTTAACGCTGTATATATAACTTATTTTATTGTAAAGTATGAACATAAAATATGCTAATAAAATAAAGAGGTCAAACACAGTTGTATTAGCCATTTCTTTGCCTTATAAATCTGTAAGTAAATGATTTAGCCAAGGGCTAGCAGGCACATTCCTGTGGTATGGGAGTGTCTTTGTAACATACATGGAGGAATCTTTGCATTCTTGTAGGATACTGCTTCTCTGTATCACAATTAGGAAACTTTTGCAGCAGCAACCATTTTGTCAAGCGAGTTTGGGTTCAGTATTTCACCTCATTGGTACTGTGAAAATACCAAACACCTTGCTATTCCTCAGAGAAACTGTAAGCTTTTTTCTATTACTGAGAACTGGTACAGACTGTGACACAGAAGAATAATCTCACAGTAACAATACTCTCTCATTAACATGTCTTCATTCTCCATTTCTAAATTACCAGTACTACACCACGTTACCAGAAATCTTACTGGAAGCTTTTGCTGCATTACAGGATAATTGGGTTCATGTAATCCTAGGCTGCACAGGTGAGACTCCCGGAAAAACTGCTAGCTTCTGGAAAAAACAGAGAGCACCAATTTGGATTTCCCCCAGACTGAAGGTACTTACTACCTTGTAAGACCTTTACCACCTAATCTCGGCTCTCTAGCCTGACCAATACTGTCCCAGTTTTTCCGTAGAGAAACTTGCTGGATTTCTGGCTGCAGTCAGGAACTGCCCTCTACATAGTGTTTGATATCTGATGGTCCTGGTCTGATGACATTAATCAAAAGAACAGAGGTAAGGTGGGCTGAAAAGGATAGGTCTCTGCTTTGCAGAATAAAGCAACACCAGCTGACTGCCTCCATATTCTATAATTTGGGATCATTAATCCATTATTCATGAACAAAAAGATAATGTGTCCAGCAGCATGGTTTGGAGGATGAGCTGAAAAGACATGCCAGTTCCAATTCTCCTTGTCAAACTCAAAGCCTCATGCGTTTAGAAGTCCTGCTTTGTTATAAACAGGGTGTGTTTAACAGAAAAATCCTTCCTGATGTAGGTGAAAATCATGACCCAGAGGTAAAACAATGACTCCTGTATGCAGAAGTCATTCTTCTGCAAGCAACTTCTATATTCCTCTGTGATAATGAAAAGCAAATGGAGACCATGCCCTTATGTATTGGGTAGGCTTCTTGCTGCACATTCCATTAAATATATTAACATAAAGAGGAGAAGAATGCACTGTCTCAGGCTATATCTAGTTTTAGACACATAATATTGCATATGTATTTTATCCCTCCCATTCAAATAAGCTCTTTTGATTATTTATTGTTATATGATTTATAATGTATAGCACCTCTTACCTCAGGCATTAATTTATCACTATCAACCACTCTTCAAGGACAGAAAAATGCTGATTCCTTTTTGCCAGTGCTCTGTGAAACTAGACTGTTTGAATACCTATTGAAGAATGGCAAGAAGCTTTTGCATGCACTGCTGCAGAAGACATCAGTGATTAGCTGTTATACAGATCACACACAGGCATTTCAGTTGTTCATCTCCTTTAAAAAAAAAGATTTTTTTTGTTTGTTTTCTTTTGTTTTTTAACAGTTGAGGTTGCTTTAAAAGTAAGCTTGTAATAGGATTCAAGTTAGCATCACAAGACAATTCAGGAATTATTTTCCAATTTAATCCAACATGTAGAAGTAAACAAAAAATCAGGAGGAGGTAACACCAAAGACTGATTAGTAGAAAGAGAACTGAATCCAGAAGAAAGCAGAGTTCAGTATCTGTTTCTGAAATTCAGCCTCGATGTGCAAGGCTGCTGTGAAAAAAAATCATTCCTCACACTTTCTCACACTTCAACATGGAGGAGGACAAATCAAGAGGACATAAAACTGCTACACTGTGGGGAGGATCATGTACATAAAAAGTATGTTTAATTGCATTTCTTATATAAATCTCTCTTGAATCCACACACTATTTCTTCTAATTCCTTCTTCTGAAGGAATTAGATTCCTAATTCACTAATTCCTTCTTCTGAAGCACAAAACCAGTCTGGCAACACTAGTTATCTCCAGCCTTCTTCAAAGGTCTTCTACTTTTCCAAAAAGCTGATGTGTAGGTGGGATATTATGCTCCTGTTCACAATGTATCCTGTACCATGGGATACATTTTTTCCCTGAGTCTGGATAGATTATTTTTATTTATTTTCTTCATAATTAACTGCACCAAGTCTGCCATTTTATGGAGCTGAAGATGATCTTAAAGTAAACTTATTATTAGGAATGTTATCCTATGCTGACTTTTCAACTATTGTTAGCAGTGTCCTGGCCACTGAGTTTGCAGCCCTAGTTTGTGCCCATCTATCAGAGAAATAACTTACCATTAAGCTGCAGTGATCAGAGACATGTGCTATTGTCCTAGTTAGGACAGCTGAGATCAGTTCATCATGGTGGGTGTAACCTAAAACTGTATTCTATAGCCTTCCATGTCATTTCCCAGAAACTAGACTATTTTTGTCAATAGACTATTCGCACCCTCTACCCATAGAGCCTGACTCCTCAGGCTATAAACTAGGTGTTAAGAGGCCTGTGAGATAGAAGGATGTTTCTGTCCTCACACCCTTTGTGAACTCCCCGCCCTGAGGGGAGTACCAAGCATTCCTGCCTGAACTGGAGGATATATAATCTTGGAGTTTTGGAACATTTTTCAACCCACTCGTGGGATCCAGAGGACGGCTGCATCTCATCGCTCTCAACCAGACTTAGACCACCACTGGACTGCGATCACCAGTTCTGGCCAGACTGCAGCAGCTCTCCCACCAGCAGGTTCTTCCCCTCTCCCTTTACTTTGGACTCAAACAGGGCCCAAGGAACACCACTTTGTTCAGGCCCCAGGGTACTGGGTTACACATTTGGGTTTTTGTGGGTTGAGACCAATTGTTTGTTTGTATTATTGTACTTACTGTATTATTTTAATAAATTGTTATTCTGACTTATAATCTCTCCTTTGAGTTGGGTTCATTCCCCCTGCTGGTTAACTTTTAAACCAGCACAGCTATATTCAGGGAAATATTCCTTAGGTCCAGTCTAAATACCCTTGAGTAACGGGCACAGATAGAATTGGTTTTGGAAAAAAAAATATATATATATGGATTCTCAGATCTTTTTTTCCCAGTTAATTCTCTCAGTCTGACTTCGGAGACCAGAATGTCTTGTGCATTATATCTTGTTAAATTTCAACTCAGGACCACTCAAAAAACATAGCTACAAGCAAGTAAACAGTACATGGTTTTGTTCAAAGTTATCTCTTCTAGTAGTGATCAAGTAGTCATACAAGACGCTTACAAACTTGTGTGAAAAACACAAGTCTAACAAACAAGGATGATCAGAAGATGGCATTCAAGGGTTTCATCTGTTTCTGATGATGGACAGTGATGGTTTTGACACAGCAGACTACAAGAGTCAGAGACACAAAGGTGTCTTTGCCCATAACAACATTCCTCAGAGAGACGTCTAAGGTAGGATCACAACACTGCACAGCACTATTACTTTTACAATAATTTTTGTGAGTTTTAAAAACATGTGAGCATTACATCATTAAGAGGAGCACAAGGGGTCACTGCTTTACCACCACAGTTCCTCTAACCATTTGGCAAGTGCAATATTACCAAACTGTTTCATAGATCAAACTTTCCAGCTTTCTGGACTACATTTAAATACGCCATCCTGAAGATAAATGTTTTCTATCAGGCCATCAATCTCTAAAGCCATGTAAGTTTTAGGTGAAAAATTCAGTATATAATTAAAGGATCCAGTGTAACAGTTCTGAATTATGAGCTCGACTTACAGCTCCTTTTAAACCTGGTCTGGTAAGTTAAATCATTCATTTTTGACATTGATGCTGATCATGAATAGAAGTTCTCAAAAAATATGTTGCCTTCACTATACTTTCACCTTCCAGGTAAATTTATCTGCTACAAGAAATCTTTCCCTATAATATATTAAGTTCAGCTATATAACATCAGGAAGAGATGCAAGCCAGTCATGTTCAGGAGAACTGGAAGATAACTGTGAAATCACACTTCAAGAGACAGATTTTACAGATGGTGAAAGTCATAAATACGAAGAAACAGAGCACAACTGTGCAGGCTGGGTAGTGTTAGCCTATTTTATTTAGCTCTACCAAGCTTCTGCAAATACAACTCTTCCCTGTCCAGGGAATAATCTTTCTTACAGATTTGCCACATCTAGGCTTTGTAGATCAGGTCTGAAACACTGTCTTGCTTATTTATCGATAGGAAACCTTTGATAAAGAGCAAGGGTGAATTGTAATCATACAATTCTACAATAGATGGGTTTGTAAAACAAAAAAAAAAGCTATATTTCATCATGTTTGGTAGCCTTTTCTGGTATGAAAACTATCCTAACATGAAGAGATGCAATATTCTTGTTGGTTTTCTCAATGAGGACTCTCACAGTTGTTCAAAAAATGAGCAAGACAATATTGTGTGTTAATTCTTTATCTTTCCTTAAAGTAATAGGTTGTGACTACAAGAAATTTTCTTTGTTTCATGCCAGTGATGGAAGTTGATCACTTCTGGAGACCTACACAAAAGCAAGATATGGCAGATTGTAGCTATTTTGAAGGTATGTGTTCCGACTGATCAGCTCCCAGAAAGTGTGGGAGTTCCTGCCCTTCTTTTAAGTGCAAGTACTCATCAGGTCTCTCACTTCCCAGCAAATTCTCTCTCAAAAAATGGCTGAAAATTAATATTCTCTCAGTGAATAATAATTCACATCTTGCCAGAGGTGTCCTGCATATTAAAATAGCATATCCCTTTGCAGAAAACCCGATAAACAGTGATCACATAAATCAGGTTTCCATAGGGAAATAGCTATAGCTACGGTTAACTTTTTTCAAATGTCCCTTGTTGTAGATAGTTTTCTGCGAGAAAGATAAAGAAGAAATTCATACTCATATTATAGTATCTAAATGCTACAAAAGCAGAAAAAAACCCCAGAAAATTCTAGATTCCATCTGCAAAGGCAAGACAATACAAAGACAGGCCCAAAATGTGGCCAATTTGAGAGAAATCTATCCTTTCCAAAACCCAACCCAAACCAAATCCACAAAAGACAGCAGAGAATGCAACTGACTTCCTCTGTTCCCATTCCCTATAGAGACTGCCAAGGTCAGTCAGGGGCCAACAGGATGGGGATGCTTGAGCAAGGCCATGACAAGGACTGGGGTGGGCACCTGGGGTGGGCTGGCTCACAAGACTGATGTTCAAGGCAGTTCAACAAGCAGGTGTTTACAAAATTTGACACACCAAACAGAAGCAGAAATACCGGTGGGTTAGGTATAATATTATCCTAGTACCTACCTCTGCCTGTTAATGACAAAGGCCAGCTAGGTTATCTGTGCTTCTAGTGCAGACAACTTTATTAGTTAGCTTCATTACTCTATATAATCAGTTACAAATTGAAACAGAATAAATATGAAATCTCCATTTCTATTTATTATTTTTGATCATTTGATCCATTTTTGATAGACTGACATTTTACTTTCCTTGAAGTTGCAAGACAAATTTTTCACTTGTATTTATAGGCTGCATGTGCTATAAAGCCATGCACGTTTGAAGATGCAATGCAATGCAAACTGGAATCTGATGGTAAATAAAACCAATCCCAAATTCATCATTGTTTTAGCTTTCTAGATATTAGGAGGCTTCATAAACATTTCTGCATTAAGAGGATTGATTAGTAATAAATTTGAGAAAAAAATCATGGCATGGTTTATATTCTTTAAAGATCTTCACTGCAAAGTTTATGACAATGTACTAACTACTATAAATTATCTGTTAACAACTGGCTTCACAAAAATTCACTTCTACCATTCAGAAGTCCAGCCTCCATATAAGCCTACCAGAGTGTGTTTGTGATATTAGTTGTTTACCTAAGAATTATTACAGAGTCAAAAATCACATGCACATTTTGAAACTTTACTATAGAATCACAGTCACAGAATGGTTTGGATTGGAAGGGACCTTAAAGATCATCTAGTTCCAATCCACCTGCTGTGGGCAAGGACAGCTCCCACTCGACCAGGTTGCTGAATGCCCCATCTAACATCAGTCTCACCCTTGGGTCAGCAATTTAATTGCATTAATATTTAACAGATTAAACCATACTTTTTTCTTTTTTTGCATTTTAACCAGAAACCTAACATTCAGACCATACAAATTTGAAATCAACTGTGATTTAACTTTCCAGACTGTAATATAAACCTGCACATAAATCACAAAGGGCCAATACTAAAAGCTACACCAGTATCTCTTTGTACTGCACTGCCTTTGCCATCATTAGACAACCACCTTGTGTTAAACTGGGACCACAAGGAAGACTAGTAGATTAACAAACAACAGAAATGAAGGCTGAAAATTAAGAGCACAATCAACATTCTTGTGGGTGTAAGAAAGCTAACAACTCTCTACAGGTTTTACTGGTTACTAATTTTGTAGTATTTTTAAATGGTAGTAGATGGAGAATTACATGAGCACTGGGAACACTCTTCCTAAATAAGAGGATTTTGTCTCCAGCCAGATGTACTCCAGCCACAGTGCAAACTTTTGCACTGCTGGTTAATTTGACAGAAGACCAAAACTACTGATGAAGAAATACTTAGTTCAAAACATACCTGATTGTAAGCAAATGTTTTTAGCTATGATTAGTGTTATTTAAAAATTACCTAGAATTGGTTTCCTGCCCAATACACACTGCTTGCTCTCTCTTCTGGACATACTTTGTGCCAAATCTAGTGTAGACTCCTTTCATAGAAAACCTTGTCAGAAGTATTAAGTCAAATTGCTAGAAAAATATTTGCAGTTAGAATTAAACTTCAAAAGCAGTTCAATGACTTCTGGCAAAAAAAATACAAAAAAAAGTATGAAAAGGAGAAATAAACCTCTGAAGTTTTATACTGATGTCAGTGTTAATCAAAGACTGAAATACAGCAGATCTTTAAGCTTTAACTGCATTTTGAATTTTACAAATAAAGAGTTTCAGTAATTACAGTACAAATCAGAAATGGAAGACTAATTTGAATTTTTAGAAGTATTTTTAAAAAGTATAAGAACTTCTGAAGACTGATCTGTGGCAGACAAAAAATACATCCATACTCAGAAAAGAAATGTGGGTACTACAAGGATTGTATTGCAAATTAATACAAAACATAGCAGAAACAATAAAATACAGTAATTTTACAATAGGGATTACTATTGCCAGGCATTTTAAGAAATGCTTTTACTTACATTTGCAGAGACATTACAATCCAAAGTTGCACTAGAAATTTGTACAAAGCAGGATAAAATACTAAATGTCACTTAAATAAAGGAAATGATCATACAAACACTATGATATTCTGAAATGAAACCAACAAAATTTCTCATTCAATACATCTAGTTATGTTAAATCAAAATCTGGTTTTAATCATTAAAACTGTAATTATCTCAAAAGGTAATTTGGTAAGATACCTATCTGTTATTTATCAACCCTAAAATTTATACAGTTTTCTGAAGAGTCAAAGATAACTAAGACTCATACCTGTAAGGAAAGGCTGCTTACTCAAAGGATCCAATTTCATAGATTGCATGAGTTACTCAGAACAGTAGCATTATTTCACTTTGTTAAAAAGTATTGAAGAAAGCCACTTAGCATATTACACAATTTTTCATTTTCCTTTTAATGAATGAGAATCTCTTTTATCAATGAGAATCCACACAATACACAGTCAATTATACAATCCTGAGGTTCTGCTTAATTTATTTATAAAAATCAGTAAAAAAAAAGTCAAATTTCAAGTAACATAGACAGTTGTATAAATTAAACAGAATAATTATTAGATTGAAAGATAGTGCTAGTGACTTGTGCTTAGACTAGAGGCAAGAGAGTTACCCCTCAACAATCCCAAATTCAGCAGAATTGAATTGAGGTTTATAAAGAGGAAGGTGTGATCTGGATTTGTAGTCCTATGCAACTCTTGAATCATTTGGTGAAGAGCAAACAATTCAAACATCTTCTTATTGCTTCTGCAAAAGATTTGAAATAAAGTAACTGTCAATTGAAAATTGAGAGGTTTCATTTAAACATTAAAGATGCTATAGAAAATTAATTTTTAATGAAGAAAAATGTGCACTATATTGGGAGTTTCATATAATTCTTCTATGTTGCATACAGTATTTCTAAGCAGAAGGTTATCAATGTATTGTAAGCAAAATCTTGGCAAAAATTACCAAAAATTATCATTTTGGTACGTAGTGGTATGTAGATGTAGTATAATGAAAGCTCAAGGAAAGACTGTAACAGGGTTTTTCACTCATGTGAAATAAGATTCCAGAGACAATAAATAAAAAATTTAAAATAATTAGGATTTCTGAGCCAATTTTGCTTTTACTGTATTTCTAATGTCAGTTATGATTTATATTAGATTGTTTTATAGGAAACCTTTTTTTTCCCTAGAGTTCAATTTTATTCCTTATAAAAATGAAAATCTCAGTTCTGTCAACAGCTTTAAGTCTACTGTAAAAAACTACTCAGTTTAGATACTGACTTTCGTAAATGAAACAACTCAACATTAAGCAACGCACCAATGGAGATCAGCAGCATATTACCACTGATTTGATGACCTCTGTTACAATAAACCAATAACCAGTAAGCAATGGGAACATATTTTTAAAAGATTAACATTTCCAAAAGGGCTTAAACGGCTCAAAACTTCAAATTTCGTTTTTGAAGGAAATGAAAACTCATGACACTAGAATGCAAATCACAGATGCGACTAAATTTTCAAAGGAGATTACTACCAAGTATCCAAGTAAAACTGAACGTCAGAGAGTCCAAGTCCCCAAGTTTACTGATCTAACAATAACTAACAGAAGAATGGTAATAAAGAATTACTTTATTCTGGAGAGTTTTTGCAGTATAACACAGAGCTTTTCCAAAACTGGAACATCCAGCTTAGAACTTCGAAGCAATACAGAACAAGTCTGGAAGAAGGGTTCATTACTGCACGCTTCCAGGAAAGGTTGTAAGGAATCTGTAAAAGGAAATAATTTAAAAACTGTATCACAGAGTTCAGTGCAGGGAAAAGTACAACAGCTACTGAGAACCTTTAGAAGGTTTTAAATGCTTCATGTTGTGTAATTACCAGAAAAATAAAATAATTCAGTTTATGCTGCACATGTGATACAAAAGTCAGGTAAAACTAGAAACTGAAAAAATGCAAGTTCCTAAGAGTTCTGACACTACTGATCCTTGTACTAAAACAACATCTATTCCCTTGAGAACAACGGAAAACAGGAAACAGAACAATTTAAAACTCAAATAAAAATTCTTATATTGGACATGTTTATTCAATGCTCATTTATCATGATTCTTTCCTTTTGATGACATGAGTGGAACATTAAGCCACACAAAAAGACTCAGTGTCATGGTTTAGGAATGGTGCTCCCCAGCTTGGTGCTTCCACTGAGACTCTCCAAACTGTGCTCCCATTGAGATAAGAACAATTTAATGGAAACAGCAATGAGATAAGAAAAGTTAACAGCTACAGTATTAATAACAAAAGTGTACAGAAGAAAGAGAATGATTCGCATGCAAAAAATACTCACTGTGGAGCTCAACTCAACCCAATCACAGCCACGCCACCCCAACCGCTCCCTCTGGCTCGGAGCCAGCGTTACCCACTGCTCCTCCCAGTCAGAAGGAACCCCTCAGTCAGAAGGAACCCCTTCTCCCTTCCCCACCCCCACCCATGACCTCTGGGTCCTGGCCATGACCCCTCCTGGCTGCTACAAAAATTGACCTTGTCCTGACTGGAACCAGGACACTCAGAAAGAATATTTTAAGCTGCTGCAAATCACATGGACAGGGATAGCACATGTAAGAGATTGTGTGAGACCTGACAGCCTTTCATTATCGAAATATTGTTCCCGTACTCTGTTTCAAGACAGGCAACATAATAATTGAGAAGCAAAAGAAAGTGCTGGAGAACAATTAAATACCAACAAAGCTCCCTTAAAATAGTGGATGAGATTTTATATCACACTGTATAACATTTCCCTGTACCCTGTTTCCCAATATCTAATCACTTCAGAATAAGATTAAATCTGTTCCTTCGTTATCTCAGTCTTGGTTCTGATATTACAGGTTAATTTATAGCACAAACATGGACAATTTGTTTTTCCTTAAAATTAATAGTCCTTCATACAGCATAGGGTATTTGCATTAGTAGAATACAGATATGAAGAAAATACTTTCATGTTCACATAATGTTAAAATATTTAGTGTGTTCCACTTAAAAAGAAACTGCAATATGCAAATTATAGCATAAATCAATAAACAAGACATTAAAAAAATTCTCTGCACATACGCTGAATACTGTAACTTAAAAATAGGATGTCAAGATGCTTTTATCAGTACAAAAAGGACTGGATGCATGCTTTGGTCAAAATTTTCCTTCTCCTTGTCCAAGGACATACAACTTATTAAATATAACAAGTAGCCTTGGAGTGAATTCAAGGTTTTAATTTATTTCAGAAGTTTTACTGATACAACATCAGAAGAAATGCTACAGAAAAGTATTCGGAGCAGGGCTTAAAAAAGAAGTTGACTTGGCATTTAAAGTCAGCCTGAAAGCCCAAACAACTAATTTTCTCATAGCTGAGCATTTATACTGAATATTCAATAAGGATCCAGTAATTCCTATTCCAACAAATGACCAAGTGCCACCTCCTTGATATGGTGAACTCATGAAACGTGGGCTTTTGCTGCTTTATACCCTCAGATCAAGAGACTGAGAAACATCAAATGCCTTTAGCATAGATCAGGGAAACTATGGCCATGTGTAATCTTTCCCCTCTTTTCAATAGAGGTGGTTTTGGTAAACTGATTTAAAATGCTGGATTCAACAAAATAATAGGATGTGTGGATGGAAACCATACAGATGGAGGATATTAACAGAGTTTGGAAGCAAGAGGACAACCTTGCAGCAATAAAAAGCAAGATGACAACTGATGCATTATGAAGTTTGGAAAAGGCAGGCAGATGTTTCGTGGTTTCCATAGCTGAAGTTTCCTCTGTTCTCTACCCAAAGCAACAAAAAACCTTAATTATTCAAAGAGATATACATTACTGAGGCATAAATCATTATGAATTAATCTGGTTTTATGTTTACATCTACTCCCATGTTTCTTGCATTTTTTCTACATGTTCAATCCACCTATGTATACTGTTCTCTCACTTTTAGTACTTTTTCCAGTTACAATTTTCAGTCTCAAAATTGTAATAGCAATAAACATAAAACCTGAATAAAAGTAAAGAATAAAAATAAGCACTAATCAGTAAAAAATATACTGAAAAAAAAGATAAATCAAGACTCTATTTCTTGTTTCATTTTACCTTATGGTCTTCAAGGCATACCACTTTTAATATTTCCTTTACTATTTCTGTACTTTCGCTGTAGAAGGTATTATTTTTCAGAAACTGTCATATAAAAACCCTCACGGCTATCTGTCAATTACAGCAAACAGAAAATCCTTAGACGAGTTCACCATAAGTGCTACATTCAGTGACACATGACTGACAGACACTCAAGATTCAGTGCTCTTTACTGAGCTACTGCTCTCTATGACAGAACTTTGAGGTTATTAAGTATATACAGCAGTGTCTTAAACCTGGAAAAATAATTTAACCCAGGATTCACTTCTAGTATGATGGTGTAAATCCCTAGGGAGTCTAAGTTGTTAAAATCCATAAGAAGAGGTGAAAAAACCATGAATAGAAACAGCAAGTAAGTAAACCACAATGAACACAATCTACCACCTCAAAAGTACTTCCTGACAAAATATTTCTATCACTTAAGATTGTTTGAAGCAAAATTTCTATACAGATAGCAAAAAGAGATAACCTTCTCTAAAGCAAGAAAACTCTAGGACTACAAATTACATAGTCCATAACTTTATAGAAATTCTACAGAACTACAGTTTTATAGAAATTCTTCTAAAATTTGCTAAAGTTCCCACAAATGACAGCCTATTCCCAAGAAACAGAAATGGTCCTATCAACTTGCACTGCACCACTGCTGAAGTCTGTTTTAACAACAAAAACTTGAAACTAAGTATCTCTTACTTAGCAAAGATGCCTATCAGAAAGTAAGAAAAGTATAAGAAAACATGTGACAATATTGACATTCAAGAAGTAAATTGAGAAGGAGGGTTTATCTTCTTTCTACTGACTGTTAAAACAACAAATGGTTTTATAAAACTCTCATTTAACATGACTTCTGACTCTTTTGAACTCTGATTCATGAGATCTGAAGGTAACAAAGACTGCTTCGATGAACAAGGCAATCCTACAATTTATTCCTATAAATATCCTTAAATAGCCATAAAATGCTTTCAATTCCTTTTCTGCAGGGTAAACAAATACCATATTCTGCTGACCTGGACATTTCTTTGCTGCCTTGCTTTTACTGGTTCCTTAAGTATATTACATTAAAAAAAATTATATATATATATATATATACAAACACACACACACATATACATCCTCTAAGAATGGTTTTGACTGTGAAGTTTACAAATTAATGTAAAAGACAGCATTACTTTTAAGATAAGAGGATTTTTCCCATAAAACAGAAGGGCCAAAGTGGAAATAATTTCTAAAAGTTCATAAAGTTCAATCAAATGAAAGCAAACTGATAAAAGCAGATGTTTAAATGTACTTTCTGTAAACTGCTTGTATACTCACTTCAGGTAAGTTTTTGTAGAATATATTCTCAGTAATCAGAAAATGAACAAAATATATAATTTAAATGCAACTCTAGCTGATTACTAAAAGAATATAAGCTTCACCTTTTAAAATATTTTGGTGGCTTAGATCTGCATTGATTTTGTTTTTATTTCACTATTTTAGAAAAACTAAATTGGAATTCATCCTGGCAGGACTTTGTCACAATTTAAAATACCTACAAAAGTGTCCACTGGTATGCTTAAAAAAATTGCAGGATGTTATAGTTGCATTAACTTAGCTTGACTGGTAGACTGCAATGAACAATGAGCAATTTATCACTGTTGACAGAATTCATCTGAAATTTACCCTCAAAGTAATCAGTCACTCACAGCACAAAATCTCACCAGCTATAGTTATCCAGAAAATTGTTTCATACATAAAGCTATGACACTTCAGAAAATTAAAATGACAACTCTAAGTTCATGTTTTAAGAAATTAATGATTACAGTTTTGTAACACTTCTAATTGTGTGAGGATCTGCTGGGAGAAAGGGGACCACATGACAGCAAAGCAAGTGAACGATGGAGCACTGTCTACTAGTGTGGAAAAGTTAACTAACACAAAAGTTAACTATGCACCACAGTAGGAACACTTCAAAGGAAACAGCAATATCACTGGCTTATATCCAACTGTCTACAGCACAGTCACCTGTAAGATTTGAACCATTTGCTGAATTTACCATTTTCTCCTGTAATCAGTAGCCAGGACTGTTAAGTGTCGGTGCTTAAAGCTCAGTGTAGGTGCTCACATAGGTGACACTGAGTTAACAGAGCCCAAGCGACAACTTCAGCTGGTCACCCAGTATGTGTTGATCTCAGCATGATCTGAATTGCTCCTCAGTTTTCTAGGCTGTGAAGACGTTTACACAGACATGAGACAGGATGTATAAGAGACCAATATCATTCTCAAATGGCAACTGGAGGTTACATCCAGAAAAAAAATTGTAATAGAAAAGGTTAAAAAATTAGCAGCAATATTTATGCCACAAGAGATGCTTGGAATGAAAAGAAGCCTATAAAGAAAAGAAAAAAGGTCAGAAAAGAAAGCTATGCCTTGAAGGTCAAAAACTATAAAAAGAATACTATGAAAAGTCAAGTTAAGTCAGAAAAAGTTATGTTTCTTAAGAAAAAAAAAGTTTTCCCAGATATTTAAGTAAAAATAGAACAAAAAAGCGGTAGTGGGGTCATCTCACTAACCAGGTCCACTAAATATATGACTTGGGGCAGCACACCAATGTTTGAGGAA